ACATGCATCCCGTGCATCCGGCCAACCACAACTAACTCTAGTGTGCTCTTTGGCAGTTTCCAATGTCAAGGCTGGAGAAGTTGTGCCACCCACATCTACACTCTGCTCCTCACTTCATGAAGCCTCTGTGATAGGTAGGAATGTGCAGGTTCAGTTTGCATGATTTATGTGTTAATGCTCTATCTAGTTAACTTTGTGAACGTGACAGCCGTGGCTGCAGAAGTATGTCTACATGTGACAGAAATGCACTCTCACACAATTTGCTTGCATACCTTGACAAGAGGGAACACTTCCTCTCATTCATTTTTTTGTAAAGTATTTGCACAACAATGTTACTCACACTCTGTCTATATTCAAATCCCGTCTTTCTGTTTTGAAACGATGCCACAGTGCCTTATCAGATTTAACGTTCCTGACAGTTTGGCTTGTTTCAATTGACTTATGCCGTGCCAGATGTTGTCCTGTCAGGAACATTGTTGATGAGCCCTGAGGACAAGAGAGTGCTCAATTTTGTTTCTAAGCTGTATATTAAACACCTGCTGAGAACAGGTTTGGTCCCAGGGTGCACTCATACACACATAAAAAAAAAGCTTTGGTATTTATTGGGCTGAGTTAATGGGTTTACATTAACCAAACATGAATCTATTAAGTGTTGCTTCATCAAAAAAGGTGTTAAAGTCGCACACACATATTTGAGCTGTTTTCTTAGCCAGTAAAAGTTAAGTACTTTTATAGGTGTTGCACATTAAACACTACCCTACATTCATAAATGACATGAGCTGCAGAATTCAGTTGGTTAAAAAGAAAGCATCTGTTTATGTAGCGTGTGAACTTTTGCAACCTATCAGATGTATTTTGCCAGCAATCATTTCCAGGTTTGTTAGCTTTTTTGTCTTGTAGGAGACTGGTCCTCTAAGTAGAGTCATAAGGTTTCATGAGACAGGTAAAGGTGATTTAATGGAGCAATTATGACCATAAAACACGGAACATGAGCTCCTAGACAGCAATAGCCAACCAGTCCGCTTTACCAGAGAAAGCACATGTGCATCTCATCACTGCAAGACATAACTGCTCGTTCAGACTAAAGAAAAATAGATTTCCACACCTGTGGCTGTAAACTTTAAACTCTTTGATGCCAACTTAAAACTTGCAACAAGCAGCTCTAGTAACCTCTGCTGAACTGAGATAACCTCACTGGCCCAAACTGGGAACTCAGATGCTGTGCTGTAAATCTGCCTAGTAACAGACATTTCTTGGGTGGGTGTGTGCCTCCACATTCAACAATGAAAAGTTGAGCCATTTTTGGGAGGCACGTGATAATTTGAGACAAGTCACTGAGAGTTTTCTCTGATCCTAAAGTATGGAAGTTGGAGGATGGATGGGTGTGTCTGAGACACAGACAATAGGGCCAATTTTGGGGTTGAATGAAGGGATGGAAGAGCTGAGGAGTTGTGGCCATTTTGCTTGCAGCTACGAGAGGACTGTTTTTCACTCAGTCCTATCACTGAAGAGAAGGGGACTGACAGACAGGAATAGACAGGCAGCTGTGCAGGCAGGCGTCCGACAAATAGAAGATGGAGAGCAAAAGAGAAGGAAGCTGGGTGAAAGAGGGTAAGAAAAGCAAGCTAAAAGCAGCTGGAGAGGCTTTGTGAGGCCTCAAGATGTAACAAATCATTTTGCAGGGTGCACAAAGTTTAAAATATAAAAATAATCCAAGCTCTTCCCTCAAGCTCACCACACGCCGAACGCTAAAAACACATCAAAAGATGGGCACATAGCCCTGAACAAAACATGAATCTTTCAGACATTTTATGTTTGATAAAATGTTTTTTTTTTTATTGGTATTAAAAATGAAAGTACATGAATTGTGCATTTCGGACGTTCTAGCGTGCAGAGGTTAAATCAATAAAATACACAGGCTTGAGTGAGCTACTGACAGAAAAAGCTGCCATCGCTCTGCAAGTTATCTCTTCATATTCAGCGAAAAGAAGTGGTTGTCTTTCACGCCATTTATAAGAACACGAGTAGCCTGTTGGAACATTACAATAGTGGATGAATGCAGTCCTAGCAGGAAAATATAAAATATAATAATAATAAATTTATTATGATTGCACTGCCTGCTTTGTTGCACAACTGAAGTAGAATATATTTTAAGATACGGCCTTGATGACTGTACTCTTTTGCAGAAACATGACCAAGTATTTTCTTGACTCGTCATTGAAGTACTTTATGTCAAGTACCCATTAAATTTCAGTTCCACCAAAAGGGGTGGGTAGGTACCCACTCCCATAAAAGACGAGGAAACTATACGGTGGCACAGAGTTATCTTGTTCCTAACATGGCCTTTAAGTGGTTTGTTTCAGAGAACAGTATCATTGTGGCCGGGTGCAGGTAAGCTGCCCCTTCCACAACAAGATTATCGCTTTAACTCTGTAACATCCACACGTCACTTCTCTTCCTGAGTGCTTCAGAAAGGGTTCAGCATGATAGCCCTTCATCAAATGCATAATGGATGCATTACTGGAAGATTGTGAGGGATGTCTGCAACCAACTCCCAACTAGTTCTGTGCATCAAAAAATATCAGAAAAATTGTCTTTCACAAACAGATGATAGACAGATAGACACAGACAGACAGACAGACAGACAGACAGACAGACAGACAGACAGACAGACAGACAGACAGACAGACAGACAGACAGACAGACAGACAGACAGACAGACAGACAGACAGACAGACAGACAGACAGACATACAGACAGACAGACAGACAGACAGACAGACAGATAGATAGATAGATAGATAGATAGATAGATAGATAGATAGATAGATAGATAGATAGATAGATAGATAGATAGATAGATAGATAGATAGATAGATAGA